ATAGCACATTTATTGTACATAACGGACTAATTTTACCTTATTATTAAATGTCCATAATAATTGAGAGTAAATGATAAGGCGTAGGTACGCGTTTCATATGCGTCTTTAATACATATGCGTTCAGAATTATAAATTCAAGGGAAATTACTGTGCATAACATTGGGATGCACTTTTTGTATTGTACATAATTTCTTATTCTTAATTACTTTTGTTATATCAATTTGAAGACGAGGCATTGTCCTATGAGTTATCTTATGTAAGATCCCTAGTCATGTATACAGAATCCTTTTACTGGCAGAGCAGATATTATCGTGCACATGATATACTTGAAGACACCTGGATAGAATGAATCAAAAGTTTTTTGCCTATATTTGCTTCTTAGTAAAGATGACTCGAAACTTTACGGACTGAGTTTGATAGATAATCTGAATATCTAATATATGTTTTATTTGTACTGTGCATATGTGTGTAATGTATATACATCTGGTATGCTACTGAAATGTAGACTTTGTTTGTTATTACCAGTTTAATTGCGATTATCTATAAGAATCAAACAATTGGAAGTTTGATATTCTTATAATAATATCAAGCGATGAACGACCCGAATTACGAGACCAAGTGTGTTTATCATATTGGAGTTTGAGAGCATATAAAGAAACAGGGCTAGCCGCACTTTTAGTATTGCAGTTGTATTAAGATGACAGTCGTTGGTTTGTGCAGTTGTTAGATGAAATACGGTATTGTATTAGACTGATTAATTTGTGGAGTCGATCAAGAGGTGCAATGTTGTCATGACTTTGAAACAAATGCAGTAACGTCTGTTTCACTTGGAAGGAAAATATAGAATGAAGAAAACGCGATAAGCGCAGTGCGCGATAATGAATCAGAAGTTACAAGAATAGTTAAGGAGTATAAATATTGTTGCGTAAAAATAGGAGATATCAACAATTGTAGTCATAAAGGTTGTAACGTGTGAATAAAAATGCTTTAAAGCACTAATTGATGATGATAGCAATTGTCAACTTGGGCATACACTTGCGCCGGTCGGTGATTAAACAATAATATCATTATACTCCTTCCATTTTGTAAAATATGATTACAGGCATGAACAACACAAGACATACATGTAAAACATACTAGCCGGTGCCAAGGCTAAGGGTGGGGATTATGGAGGGTGGCGACCCAAAATAAAATTATATGTCATGAAAAACTGTTGGATTTCAGCTGTAATCGACAATGCGGCAAAGCGACAAAGACCCCGTTCCCATACCTAGTTTGACCTTGCGGGATCGGTCATCTCCGAGGGGATTCACGCTAAATTGCATTTATCTTAAGAGGTTCTTGGAACGCCTATTGAGTTACGGGAACATAAAATATTTCTTTATGACTTGTGAAGGGGCGTTCATGTGCATTTCCGCGTTGATGAAAGACCATCAGTTCAGCGCCTTTTTATTATGGACATTATTTATTTTTATATGTTTACAAAATATTTAGTTATACTTTCAAATGCTCAGTCGAAATATTCCCCATAACCATAAGAATGACGAGAGAGACTTTGGCATAAAAGCTGATGGTTGCGGCTCCAGTTCACTGCTCTGTCCTCTGTCTTGAATTATCTCCTACAGTGACTTCGTTAGGTATTCGGTATTTGGACACATGTTTGCTTTAAGATGAGGAACATAAAGTCGTTAGGGAACTTACATCTGCACTCTTTGTATATTCACGTTAAGGCTTTAAAGTCATAGCAGTGAGTTTTTGACAAGGTAGTTTACTCACCTGAGTAACGTATTAATTACCTCCAGGTATAGATTCTTGCGGTCAGTAGGCCTATGGTCTTTTTACTAACGATTCATCTACCAAAATCCTTTCACCATCTTGCGTAATGTGAAGACCGCGTCTTCTACACATCCGTCCTCCTCATGACTTTTTTTTCGAATTTGACATGTTTCAGAAATTGAACTTAGGCAGTGTGTTCTTAATGGGGGCTGTGTACAGGAAAGATGGTTGCTATAAGAAGATAAGCTCCAACACGTTTAAGAAAGCAGAGATTACTACATGTATGTGATTTCGAATGCTTTTTATTCTCCCATAACATTTTGACAGTCGACGTCACTCACAAAATAGATATCATTTTATAAACAAAGTGATGTCGCGCACACATAACGTACGTCTGTGGTGCCATTTTGCAGATGCCATGTTTAACGACACAGTGTATACATGATGGTTTCAGTCCCGTTGTTCTTCCAAGCCCCCGACATATAGCTTAATGCAGTGTCACTTTTCTGGATGCTTTTTTGGCAGGTGTGACTGTTGCAGGAATGGAAGCCAAAGGCGTTATAACTGCTCCTTGCTGGACCATTCCCATCACCGAACGCCAGGTTGGCAGCGTACGCTACGCGAGTGGAAGGGTTACAACTCAGGACGTCTCCAATGCGCATGTCAGAGTTGTAATCGGAAGCGCAACTGGAATCAAATGACCGAAAAACAATATGTAAATTCAATACGTTTTTAGTATCGACTGTACCAGTTGAAAATATATATGCTTTTACAATGACGGGTGCAGGGTTCACGTCAGCCCTCTTAAAGTCGGGATTCCCTTCTCTCCCCCACCTCCCCCAAGATTATTGAACACATATTATCTTTATAAAACTAAAGAAAAAGCTTTTGAATTCTCACTTTTTGTAACCTGATATAGATAGAAATCTTTCCCCACACCCGGTCGGACGACGAGAGAGACTTTCGCATAAAAGCTGATAGTCGCGGCACCAGTTCACTGACTTGCTCTGTCCATCGTCCGGAATTCTCACCTCCAGTGCCAGAAACTCGTAGTTTCTGTATGTGATGTTTTTGGCTCGAAGAACCTTGAAGCCAAATTCACCTAAAAAAGAACGTCGTTTTATTCGTATTTTATTCCCCCGTATATGAGATATGTCAGCTAGGACCATAGGTCATAAGGTGTAATTTTAAGTATTTCCAGTTTTCTGACAGCACCTTTGGCAAACAGATGAAGTTAAGAAGCAATTATCTGGAACTATACGTCGCGTCCGGATTTTCAATTTGACCAGTTGTACACGTAATGTAAAAAAAACGCCCATTGCTACAGTGTATACGTATGCATGATCAACTAGTAGGAAGTTGTAATATCAAGAACCAATATATATATATATATATATATATATATATATATATATATATATATATATATATATATATATATATTAAAAAGCACGTTTATCGTTTGCTTTTCTTGTAACATATGTTAATAATGGAATTATGAGAGGAGTGTGAGAGGAATGTTCCGTTTAAGCTTGTTGCTCAGTTTCTTGAATACTATTATGTTTACAGGGTAGGAGTATCTAAAGAAATTCGAAATATAACCGTCACCCTACCCTTTTCCCTATAAGTAGTCGTACTAGGTTTCACGGTTGTCGTGCGTTTAGTAGTCGTAGGTCCCATAAAAGCGCTTGGATTCTCTAGACACATCAGGTACTTTTTCTTCAGGTCATCCAGCGTGTTACTGGCCAACTTAATCTCCAGGTCTAAGAAGGTGTCCCCATAGGCTGCTCTTCGGCCAATGATCCCCATGGACGAATGGTCAGGGTGGGTGAAAAACCCTGGACATCTGGTAAAAAGTTCCTGGTCCATTTGTTTCACCTGGTGTGTTTAAACAGGAAGGTGAAGTTATATAATCAGGAATTATATCTTACCAGGGAATGAAAAATTTATTATGAGCATTGTCATGGTCTTCTTTGAATGATTTGACTGCAGAGATTTCAACATACTATCGGAATTTAAACTTTGGTTTCGAGAAGCAAGATTTATGACTGAAGGATTGCAAAGTTGATGTCACATTTAGAAGAAACCAAGAGAGAAAATATCAAAGCAAGACTCACTTGATAGTTCAGTTTGTACAGCAACATCTGTTTAGTAAATAAACCTTGATCCACGTTTTGTGCATGGTCAGTGACAATCACCACAGTGATTAGAAAACCGATTACACTTACGGAGCCCATTTTCAGAAATTTTCCGCTGCTTTGCCTTCAATTTTTATTCCACGTCCTACCTGTACGCCCTTTCCATATGCTTTCTGTCCTCACCTCTGCATATGTATATATATCGATAAGTCCGTGATACGTTTTAGGGAGTGTAGTGAGAAATAACAGGTTGCAGGGGCACATTGGTCTCTGATAGCGTTTGAACGCGTGTTTAAGGTCAGGACGCATCATTTTAAGATATACACGGTGCTAGGTGAACGTAGATCATTTAAAAACTATACAGAGGAGATGAGACAATTGGGTTTACATTATGTGACTTGCTATGACAATACTGGTTTGTCAAAATATGGAAGCATGCGTACATGTATGTCTCCATTATGATCCTGTGTGTAAGAGGAGTGTGTTCTTAGTTCTACTTTATGGCTTTGCCTGCATTTGTATAGGAACTGGTGATTTCTTCGGGTCTTTCATATATAGACGGATATTTGCTTTACAGTGAGTTTTAGGAACATCATGCCACTATATTTAGGCATCGTACTCTTTTATATACTAATGTTATCTTAAAGAGAAGTGGGTTTTCGTAAAATGTGTTACCTCACCTGGCTGATGTATTCTTTAAACTACATTTAAGTACCTGTTATCGTGGACAACATAGCATTTTTACTGACGATTCTTCTACCAAAATCTTTTAAACTTTACTTTCACTGACGACAACACACCATGTTCAAAAGCTTATAAATTCTACCTGTTCTCCTTTTAAAAACTTAATATGTTAAATAAATGAAACTGCATTAAAGCGGAATGTTCTTAATGGCGGCCGTGTAAAATAACATACCAATAGTTTGTATAATCTCTTGTATTTACGTAAACAAAAGCGGAGGATACTATATAACTTTGAATGTTTTATTTTTCATAAGATTGTGACGGTCGACGTCATTCACAAAATAGAAAGTCATTTTGTGATATTGCGCACACATAACGTATGACTGTAGTGGATGCCATTGTTCAACGACACAGCGTGTACATGATGGTCTCAGTCCCGTTGTCTTTCCAAGACCCCCACATATAGCTTAATGCAGTGTCACTTTTCTGAATGCTTTTTTGGCAGGTGTGACTGTTGCAGGAATGGAAGCCAAAGGCGTTATAATTGCTTCTTGCTGGACCTTTGCCATCGCCGAACGCCAGGTTGGCAGCGTACGCTACGCGAGTGGAAGGGTTACAACTCAGGACGTCTCCAATGCGCATGTCAGAGTTGTAATCGGAAGCGCAACTGGAATCAAATGACCGAAAAACAATATGTAAATTCAATACGTTTTTAGTATCGACTTTACCGGTTGAAAATATATATGCTTTTACAATGATGGGTGCAGGGTTCACGTCAGCCCTCTTAAAGTCGGTATTCCTTCTCTCCCCCACCCCTCCCCCAAGATTATTGAACACATATTATCTTTATAAAACTAAAGAAAAGGCTTTTGAATTCTTACTTTTTGTAACCTGATATAGATAGAAATCTTTCCCCACATCCGGTCGGACGACGAGAGAGACTTTCGCATAAAAGCTGATAGTCGCGGCACCAGTTCACTGACTTGCTCTGCCCATCGTCCGGAATTCTCACCTCCAGTGCCAGAAACTCGTAGTTTCTGTATGTGATGTTTTTGGCTCGAAGAACCTTGAAGCCAAATTCACCTAAAAAAGAATGTTGTTTTATTCGTATTTTATTCCCCCGTATATGAGATATGTCAGCTCGGATGTCATTTTAAGAATTTCGGATTTTCTGACAGTAACTTTGGCATATAGATGAAGTTCAGAAGCTGTTATTTGGAATTATACACGTAGTATCAGGATTTTCAATTTGGCCAGTTGTACACAAAATGTACAAAAAAAAAAAAAAAGGCCCATTGCTACGTATGCATGATGAACTAGTAGGAAGCTGAAAACTTGTACAAATGTCAAGAACCATGACTTAAGCAACTCAACAAATCACCAATGAGAGATACTTTTAATGCGCTATTTACAAGTTTTCAAACAATATATATATTACTATGTCACATGCTTATCGTTTACATATGTTAATCACGGAAGTATGAGAGGAGTGTGAGAGAATGCTTCGTTTAAGCTTTTGTTTCTCAGTTTCTCTAAGACTATAATGTTTACAGGGTAGGAGTAGCTAAAATTCGAAATGTTACCGTCACCCTACCGTTTTCCCTATAAGTAGTCGTACTAGGTTTCATCGTTGTCGTGCGTTTAGTAGTCGTGGGTCCCCTAAAAGCGCTTGGATTCTCCAAACACATCAGGTACTTTTTCTTCAGGTCATCCAGCGTCTTACTGGCCAACTTAATCTCCAGGTCCAAGAAGGCGTCCCCGTAGGCTGCTCTTCGGCCAATGATCCCCATGGACGAATGGTCAGGGTGAGTGAAAAACCCTGGACATCTGGTAAAAAGTTCCTGGTCCATTTGTTTCACCTGGTGTGTTTAAACAGGAAGGTGAATTTATATAATCAGGAATTATATCTTACCAGGAAATGAAAAAATTATTGTGAACATTGTCATGGTCTTATTTGAATGATTTAACTGCTGAGATTACAACATACCTGTATTAGCGGAATTCAAACTTTGGTTTCGAGAAGCAAAATTTATGACTGAAGGATTGCAAAGATGATGTCACATTTAGAAGAAAGCAAGAGAGAAAATATCAAAGCAAGACTCACTTGATAGTTCAGTTTGTACAGCAACATCTGTTTAGTAAATAAACCTTGATCCACGTTTTGTGCATGGTCAGTGGCAATCACCGCAGTGATTAGAAAACCGATTACACTTACGGAGCCCATTTTCAGAAATTTTTCCCTGCTTTGCCTTCAATTTTTATTCCACGTCCTACCTGTACGTCCTTTCCATATGCTTTCTGTCCTCACCTCTGCATGTATACATCCGTGATACGTGATACGTTTTAGGGAGTGTAGTGAGAAATAACAGGTTGCGGGGGCACATTGGTCTCTGATAGCGTTTGAACGCGTGTTTAAGGTCAGGACGCGTCATTTTAAGATGTACTGGGTGAACGTAGATCATTTCAAAACTAAACAGAGGAGATGAGACAATTGGGTTTACATTTTGTGACTTGCTATGACAATACTGCTTTGTCAAAATATGGAAGCATGTGTACATGTATGTGTCCATTATGATTCTGTGTGTAAGAGGAGTGTCTTCGTAGCTCTACTTTATGACTTTTCCTGCATTTGTATAGAGACTGGTGATTTCTTCGGGTCTTTGTTATATAGACGGATATTTGCTTTACAGTGAGTTTTAGGATCATCATGCCACTATATTTAGGCATCGTACTCTTTTATATACTAATGTTAACTTAAAGAGAAGTGGGTTTTCGTAAAATGTGTTACCTCACCTGGCTGACGTATTCTTTAAACTACCTCTAAGTAACTGTTATCGTGGACAAAATAGCATTTTTACTGACGATTCTTCTACCAAAATCTTTTAAACTTTACTTTCACTGACGACGACACACCATGTTCAAAAGCTTATAAATTCTACCTGTTCTCCTTTTAAAAACTTTATAAGTTAAATAAATGAAACTGCATTAAAGCGGAGTGTTCTTAATATCGGCCGTGTAAAAGAACATACCAATAGTTTGTATAATCTCTTGTTTTTACGTAAACAAAAGCGGAGGATACTACATGACTTTGAATGTTTTATTTTCATAAGATTGTGACGGTCGATGTCATTCACAAAACCGCAAATCATTTGTGATGCTGCGCACACATAACGTATGACTGTAGCGTCAATTAGTGGATGCCATTGTTTAACGACACAGTGTATACATGATGGTCTCAGTCCCGTTTTCTTTCCAAGACCCCCGCATATAGCTCAATGCAGTGTCACTTTTCTGGATGCTTTTTTGGCAGGTGTGACTGTTGCAGACATGGAAGCCAAAGGCATTATAATTGTACTTTGCTGGGCCTTTGCCATCACCGAACGCCAGGTTGGCTGCAGACGCTACGTTAAAGGAAGGATTACAACTCAGGACGTCTCCAATGCGCATGTCAGAGTTGTAGTCGGAAGCGCAACTGTTAGCAAACGAAAAACATGATATTAATTCTTATCATCAATTTTATCAGCTTAAAATATAAAATATTTATACAATGATGGGTGCAGGGGTATAAGTTGCCCCTCTTAGCGTCGGTCCCTTCCCCCTCTAAATATCTATATATATATATATATAATTATATAATCTTCACAAAAAAACATGTGAAAACATTGAATTCTCACTTTTTGTAATTTGATATTGATAGAAATTTTTCCCCACACCCGGTCGGACGACGGGAGAGACTTTGGCACAAAAGTTGATAGTCGCAGCACCAATTTACTGACTTGCTCTGTCCGTCGTCTGGAATTCTCACCTCCAGTGCCAGAAAATCATAGTTTTTGTATGTGATGTTTTTAGCTCGGAGAACCTTGAAGCCAAATTCACCTATAAAGAAATACGTCCTTTTACTTCCCCGTACCCGTATGATAAGAATTATTGTTTGCTAGGAACAGTAGTCTGTTCCCCACTACTTTGAGCAGGTGACATAAATGGTCCCATATAATAACCCTAATACTTCGACTAACCCTAACCTGTACTAATAATATGCTAACCCGTGCTAATCATATACGACCCCGTCCTTCCATTCCTAGGACTACCATTCCTGTTACAACGGTATTAAGGCAGTTGTAGATGTGACACATATGGCTCTCAGCTCAAAGTTTTCTCACCTCTTAGTTTTGAAAATTTTCTAATATTACTTAAGTATACAGAAGGGTAGTTTGCAAGGTTCATAACCAATTATGAATATCTGAATTTGGAACCCAGAATTTCAAATTGTCTTTTTGACCAGTTGAACCACTAAATAACGCACTGCCATGAGACTGAAAACTTAAACATTATAAGAGCCATAACTAAAGCAGATTGTCGTCCACCATATGAGATGCAATTTATGAAATGTTATGTACAAGTTATATACCATAAACTACTTGCTAGCCGTATAGTACAGGGGTATGTTACTCTAACGGCACATGTTATTAATGAAAGAATTATTTGTTTTAGCTCTTGTTACTCCTGATGCTTGTAACCTGCCAATAACAGTATAAACCTAAGAGTAGCTCAAAGTAGTGGTGAGATTATTGTCAGCTTACCACTGTCAACTGCAGAAGTAGTCGAAGTCAGTTTCATGGTTGTCGTGCGTTTAGTCGTAGTGGTAGTTGTACTTGTTGACGTAGTTGTAGGTTTATTAGTCGTGGATCCCCTAAAAGCGCTCAGATTCTCCAAACACAACAAGTACTTTTTCTTCAGCTCATCCAGTGTCTTACTGGCCAACTTAATCTCAATATCTAAGAATGCGTCCCCGTAGGCTGCTCTACGACCAATGATCCCAATGGACGAATGGTCAGGGTGGGTGAAAAACCCTGGACATCTGGTAAAAAGTTCCTGGTCCATTTGTTTCACCTGGTGTATGTTAACAAAATGGTGATGTTATTTTGGCAGGATAGTTGACTTACCACGAAATCAAAGATAATATTGTGACGATTGCCAAAGTACTATTTGAATGATTTAACTGCATTGATTACGCCGTGCTACCGGAATTTAAGAAATTTGGTTTCGGTTAGTTCGATTTATAACTGAAGGAATTCTGTTAAAATTGACATTGTTTTCATATCTAAGAAACATCCCCAGAAATGCGCTGCATGACGTCATGCCTAGCCCACTGCGAATGCGTGCATTTTAATGAGTTGCTAGATTGCCATAGGAAAATGAATGGGTTCGCGATTTCGTGGGTAATTCGCGATAATTGACAAACTAACGGCCTGATGCCGATAGACAGCAACGCTGTGCTATGCTTCAAACAACTCCTGACCAAATATCGCTAGGGTTTTTAGAAAAATTCTGTAGTACACACGTATTAAGAAGTGTGCTGTGCTTTGCCTAGCCCAGCACCCTCAGCAAAACGCAAATATTTTCACAAATAGTGATTTTAGACGTTGATTTACTCAGCAACAAAGGCAAACTAATTAGTTGCCGATAGCACCAGCAGAAAACAGCACCATACAGAGTCTAATTAAAATTTTTCATAGCAATTTAAGGAATTTTACCACTGTACAATGGAGTCCAAAAAAAGCACTTGGCACAAATGTGAAACTGCCCAGTGCACGGCCAAGAATTCAATCAGTATTTACAATCATATTATCAGATTCTACATAAATTGGCTGACAATAACACTACTCAGTATTTAACTAATTTCTTAATCCAAAATTCCTATCATCATCTAATAATAATGCAAAATTCTTCTTTCAGATTGCTATTTATTTTAAATTTTAATGCTGCAACGGTTCCAAAATAATTTTGTAGTAAAGGAAAAATGCAAATAAGAAGTGGAAGACCAATTTAATCCCCACATTATTCAATTATTTGAATATAAAAAGAATAAGATCACGATTTAACAAATTAAAATAAAAATTAATTAAAATTAAAATTAACTCTTTCATGAATAACATATTAAACAAAATTAAAGTTATAAATTAGTGGTAATGGCTTATTCTGGAATATGTGACCTCTGCATGCACATCATCAGTACCTGACTTGGTACAGTATAGTTACTACTTGGATACAGAGTTAAATTTAATAATGTTACAATGAGAACAATATATATTACAATGTCAGACGCTTGTTACCATGAGCTAACACTACTTGAAAATGGACTGAGCACTTATCACAGAGTCTGTGTGCGATGCCATTGTTGTGCTGTGATTGGCTAGTTGAGTCACTTGAAGCCCTACTGCAGCGCCCTCGCGTATCGCGTGAATGCTACGCATTTCTGGCCATGAGAGAAACAGAGAATATCAAAGCAAGACTTACTTGATAGTTCAGTTTATACAGCAACATCTGTTTAGTAAAAACATCTTGGTTCACGCTTTCTGTATGACCAGCGGCATTCAACACGGCGATTATAAAACCTATTACACTTATGGAACCCATTTTCAGAATGTTTCTCTTTAAATCTTTATTCCAAGCACAACGTCCTTCTCGTATGCTATCTGTAGTCACCTCTGTATAAATTGGTAAATTCGTGATACTATTTAGGGAGTATCGTGGGAAAAAACAGGTTGTAGGGGCACATTGGTCTCTGATAGCGTCTTTAAGGTCACGGTTATACAGGGTGCACGTAAAAGATGTCAAAGCAATACAGAAGATATGATATAATTGGGTTTATCTTACTATGACTTGCTCTGAGAGCATCCTGGTTGGTCAAATAGTTGTAGTTCGTGTACATTTATGTGTCCATTATGTTCATGTGTGTAGCAGGAGTGTGATATTAAGTTCTGTTTTACGAGTTCTGCCTGCATTTGTATAGGTACTTCTAAATGACTTCTTCGGATTTCTCTTATATAAAAGGATATTTGCTTTACAGTGAGTTGTAAGACCACCAAACTGTTATATTAAGGCATCGTTCTCTTTTACATGTTTTAACATTAAAATGTTAACAGTGAGTTTTATCGTCAAATTTGTTACCTCACCTGGCTAACGTATTATTTAAACTACCTCTAAGTACCGATTATCATGGACAGTATAATATTTTTACTGACGATTCGTCCACCAAAAACTTTTAAAATCAACATGTACTCATTTTTAAACTTAATATGTTAAAGAAATGGAAGTGCAATAAGTCAGAGTGTTCTTAATGGCGAAGTGTTAAAGAAGGTACGGGTAGTTTGTATAATCTCTTATAATTACGTTAACAAAAGCGGAAAATACCACATGAGATTGAATACTTTATTCTCTCATAAGATTTTGGCGATTGACGTCACTCACAAAATAGAAAATCATTTGATAGACGAAGTGATATCACACACAAATAACGT